TACCTTTTTTAATAGCAGATTTTTTTACACCTTATTAATAGTAGAATTTTATACACCTCTTAAGAATAGAAAATTTCTATACGACTCTTATTAATAGCAGATTTTTTTACACCTCTTTTAATAGAAAATTTTTATACGCCTCTTATTAATAGATTTTTATATAGACCAACACTGTGCAAGAAATATAATGATTATCAGTTCGGAACGAGAAATCTGTAAGCCGTGTTCGTTGCTCCCACTTTTGCACAAATATGCACGAGAAACTTATGAATTCAGTTATTCTCTTCCCAGTTGCGTGCAGGATAGTCTGGTCTTTCTACCTGTGGTTAGCAATCAGTCTAAGAGAAGGACAACACTGAATTCAAAACCTTGCCACCGTAGGTGTCCAGAGATTGTTATATATGGGATGCAAATATTATGTCTGTAAAAGAAAAACACGAGAGATTTCAACAATTATAGATGATCCCGTTGTAGAAAAGATTTCCCAAGATTACTGTTGAAAGCAACGAGCATTGTTGGGCCCACGCAAATTAAGTGGATGAATATCTGTATGTATTTTTGTCATTCCCTTTATATTACACACCCACACACATTATATATATATATATATATATATATATATATATATATATATATATGTGTGTGTGTGTGTGTGTGTGTGTGTGTGTGTGTGTGTGACAGAATGAAAAAAGCTCTTAGAGGCATTGAAAATAGAACGGAATCAATTATCAGTCTTATACTTTGAGAAACTTTTGCAACAAATGCCAAAAAATTGTGCTGCGGTAATCAATACTAAAGGAGGATATTTTATGGTTTTAATGAATTCGCAACCGTTAATGTCTCTAAAATACATTTGTATTTTCACATTTTCTGAACCAATGTGTAGACATTTCTTCTTTTCAGACATAGACTTCTTATTATCCATTCTATTTTATTGATTACAAGGTGCTTACATTTTGTAGATACACTGTGCGAACATGAGGACATGACGATGATCTCCGAAAGAATATGGGGGGAGGGGCATTTGCAAAGGCGTACTGGTGCGCTGTCATAGGGAAAATTGGGGTTTATATAATCTTCCATTAAATATAATTTGTAGTAAACTGCCAATAAACATTATAAAAGGAAGTCAGTATAAATTTCAAATCTCCAGAGATTCCAGTGACTAAAGTAGACTTCTCACGTTAAAGAAGGCCACCTGAACGCTGTCTTATTGATGGTCGTGGAATTGTACACACTACCCCACACGCGCATACACACCTTGGGGTTAGGATTGTTTAGTTGGCTCTGACAATTACGAGTTCCGATAGTGACATCTGGATTTATATGGTGTCAATAATTTAAGGTTGAGCTTGGTTTTGCTGTGGATGTGCTGAGTGCGTGTATTGTAGCGGTTAACGAATACAAAAATGAAATCGGCGAATCGAGTTCAAATTCCGCCCGAGTTATGTTAACTTTCGCAAAAATACCCTTGGAAAAGTTCTTCTCCCCTAAATTAGGCAGACATGTCACACTGGCCTTAGAGTCTAGAGGTGGTAACTCGAGAAAAAACAGTGACCCTCGGCAGCCTGGGCCACTCGTCGTGATTTGGCGGCCCGGAAAAAAACAAAAAAACGCGGAAAACTAATTTCGACTTTTGTGATGAAGCCTTGAACTTTCGTCCATTTTATCTTCGTGCTTCGTTCGTAAAATCCAGTTTGGCCATCGAAACCGCAGGCAGCAGGAGTTTACTCCAACGTTAAGGCAATATTCGACTTCTCGTTCTTCTTTCTGCCTTGTCTTTTGCTGGTGTCCAAAAACAATAGTCTTTAAACGATAGTCTTTGATATCATTTTTCCAGCAGTGTGTCAGGTATACGGCCATATCACATAGAAGCAACGTTTCTCGACCGATCAATCGATGTTAAGCAATGCAGAGCTTGGTCATTATCAAGATAGGTGACCGCTTGGGAATACCAGGTGCTGTAAGCTTGGATGTGCTAATGGTGTAATGGATAACGGCTGAAAATTAGAAATCGGAAAGCAGAGTTCGAATTCTAGTCTGGTTCGTTACACTCCCTTACGCACAAACACTCTTACAATGACGACCCTGCTTAGTACCTAGAAGGGTGACGGCGTGGGAATAACAGACGCTGTAAACTTGGATTGTGTGTATGGTGTAATGGATAGCGGCTCAGAATGAGAAATCTGTGAGTTTGAATTCCGGTCGGGTTCGTTACATTTACTTACACCCAAATATTGTTGGGGGGGGGAGTATGAATCTACCTATTCTCTACTAACCATATATTGGTTAAATATCTACTAACTAAATATCTACTAAACATATATTGGTTAAATAGTCGAACTTGTATATGAAGATCATTATTATCACCCAAAATTCACTCGCAAAAAAAAAAAAAATTCTTACAATCCAAAAATATGTAGCAGCTTTAAATAACCTACAAAAGGGTGATAATCCGTAAAAATTAATCAAAATCTAGCATTTTTTACATATACCGTAGCATTTGCGAAGCACTTCAAGTAAGGTTGTCTTGTGGCATAAAAAACAGTCATTTTTTTCTAAACAACACTGGATCAATTAACTATTTGTAGAATCTATGTTATATATTGAAGGACTCGATTCTCCCTTCGTCACACAACGTCTGCGTGCGTCTATACATCCGCGTATGTAATGTATATGCATATGTTTATGTTTCTCATGACTTATTGGTGTTTGTGCCTTTTAATATACACACAAGTACGCGCACACACATAGGCACACATTTTGACTAAGCCTGAAATAAGACATTGGAATAATACATTCCCTTCCGACGCCGTCTGGACAACTTCTATCCAGGGCTGATCAAAGTTGAAAAAAATTTTTTTTTAAATTTAAATCCTAAAAATCATTTAATTGTACGATTTATTGAACTTTTCGGAAATTATTTGGTGATAAACACAATTATATCTTAAATAAATTTTTAATTTTATAAAAATATTTTGGTTCCACCATTAATACATGGGCATGTACAAACGTACATGCATATACAATTAGAATGAAATTGAAATGGACATCTGTGTTGCGAGGACTAATTTCTATTTCTTTCAAACAACAACCCCTGGGTAAGATGAAATGTGCGGTCCTTTGAAATTATTTTTATGACTCCTGCTGAATATATTTTCTGATAAATTTTAAATGGAAAAAATATTTTGATTGTCTTGCCGTCAGCAAAGAGACGGAGCGAAATAGTCATTATTAAAAGACTCACTGAAATAAGATCAAATATGTATTATTTATATTTTAAGGCCTGGTGCGACTCGAATCTGTGACATATCGGACAAGTGTTGGCTTAAAATGACCGCTCCTGGATACATTGGTTATTCTTTGTCGCATGAAGTCTTCTACCTGCAGATTGGGCAACAAGTAAAGTTTTCTACGTCTTAATCAAAGCTAATATATATATATATATATATATATATATATATATATATATATATATATATATATATATATATAAATGAGAATACATGAAGTTTGATAGTCAAAATCTTTTATGTTATTATTAAGAGGAAAGACCAAAAGAATCTTGATTATTAAATTATATGCTTTAATCTTTATTAGAAATTTAAAAATTTTGAATTGATTAAAAAATGAATTTATATATATATATATATATATATATATATATATATATATATATAGCAATCACCCTGTTATACAAGTTTCGTTACAGACGACTGACAAGGTACTACGATTAAGCTTTTATTTATTTTTAATGGTATGTTCATATGTACAAGGTAACCAAAAAAGTTCTGTCCGTATTTAAAGGAAAAAAAGAAAACGTTTCACAGTATGTGTAACTTATATTTAGTCTTCGAAGTAATCGCCATCGGCATCCAGCACCTTCTGCCAACGTGTCTCTAGTTGTTCAATGCCCTTGCAGTAGAAAACTCGGGGGGGCTGATGCAAAGTAGTCCGTGAGGTCTTTGCGCAAGTCTGCTTCATTGGTGAAGGATTTCCCACGAAGATGATTATCCAGGGAGTGAAAGAGGTGGTAATCGGATGGCGCAAGGTCAGGTGGATGGCACAAAGTCTCCCACCCAAGTTACTGTATGGTATCTCTAGACATACGGCCTGGCGTTGTCATAGAGGAAAAGCCCACCTTTGCGATTCACGTTTCCATTGCTGCGAGAATAGGTCTCCAGTGACCGTATGGCCCGTTGGTAGCAGTTTATAATGAACCACTTGACGACCTGTCCACCAGGCACAAAGCATAATCTTGCGTGGGTGCATAGGAGGCCTTGTGGTGTGAGGGATAGCATCTTGAGGAGGCAACCAATGTATGGAACGCTTGGGAGTTTCGTACAGAACCCACTTTTCATTACTGGTAAGCACTTGATTGAATAAGGATGCGGTACGGTGGCGAGAAAGCAGCGATACGCAGGCTGCCACTCGTTGTGGACCTCCAACAGCGTTTGCGGAACCCACCTGCTCAGTTTGTACGTCTTACCTAGGCGGTGCAGGTGAAGTCTAACTGTTTCATCGGAAACGTTGAACTGTCTTGAAAGTTCACCATACATTAGACTAGTCCTCTTCAATGGCCGCCTTCAGGACTCCGTCATTCAAGACCTGTAGTCGTCCACTGCGAGGCTCATCATGGAGAGACAAATCTCCCGACTTGAATTTTCGAAACCAACGCCTTGCAGTACGTTCATCCACAGCACTATCCCCAAACGCTTGACATATGCGGTGATTTGATGCAGCTGCTGCTAAGCCCACTTTGAAGTCGTAAAGCAAACAGCCCCGAACGAGATCTCTAGACACTTCCATCCTTCTCACAGCTGTCCGGCTTATAACTAATGGCCGGGCACGGTGCGCGTGTTTTTTATAACGTCTGATGTTCCTACTTCCAGCTGTCCGAATTTGAAAACAATTGCTACACGCATTTCGTATATATTTCAACTTCATTCAATGACTAATCAAAAAACGGACAGAACTTTTTTGGTTTCCTTGTATTTCAGACTGTTCATATCTATCTATCCTACAGGCCAAAAGGTTGGGGTTCACCTACTGGATTTAATAATTAGTGAGTTTCATGCCTTCTTTGGTTTAGTTAACTCCTAATAAGTTAGGATGTTGAAGCTATTTAACCCATTAGTGCATGGCGTCTAATCTTTTAAAAGGGTGTTACCCAAATGTTTAAATCCACCAACCCGAAGATTAGCATTTGCCACTAAAATCGATTAGATAAAAAGAAGTAAAATGTAAAAATAAATTATCCAGTGCTGGGTTCTTCTTCTTCTTCTTCTTCTTCTTCTTCTTATTATTATTATTATTATTATTATTATTACTGAATATATGATAAAACTCTTCAGGACAGAAAAGTCCCTGTGACTCGAAGGGAACAAATAAATTAGTTTTTAAAAAGCACAAAATTTTCAATTTTTAGGTGATTCTTCGAGATCCAGAGGATGGATACAAACTTTTGGTTTAGTGTCTGTTTATTTATTTATTTATCTATCTATCTATCTATCTATCTATCTATCTATCTATCTATCTATCTTAGTCTCCTCATTATCTATCTATCTATCTATCTATCTATCTATCTATCTATCTATCTATCTCAGTCTGCTCAAATTTTCGATCGCATTTTGCACTCATGTACCCATCGATTTCTATGACCATTTATCTGTCTGTCTGTGGAATCATGCTTTTGGTGCAGACATTCTTTAACTGCTCTAACAAGTTCGACGTTAACTTGGTGCTTGACGCATCTTGGTTTTACATCGACTAACTTGACTAAAACTCTAGTAATAGATACCTTTCGTGGTGGCATCCTGGGAACTGATATCCAAAGCAATTGATAATTCACATGTTCCATGTGCTTCACAGTTAGTGGCTGGTGCCAGTCTATGCAAAACTTTCAGAACATCTTTCCGTAGTCTTCTCCTCATTCTTTCTTGCCCTCTTCTTCTTTTCTTTTCGATTTTGTTTTCTTTCTTTCTTTCTTTCTTTCTTCCATGAGCACATTAAATGGAACAATTTATCCCATGCCAAAGACTAAGACCGGTTAATCAGCAAGAAGAAACGGGTTATCAGATTACTTTGCAGAAATTCACTCCTTGTTCGTTGATTAATGAGAATCGAGGCTCAAGCTTGTCTTTCCCCATGGCATTCCTTAACCTATAATTTGCACTTGCAAATCCCTCATTCATTCAGTAGATTCTAGTTAATCAGGACGCAACAGAAATAGGGAAACTTGGTACAGGTTGGTCGTTTCGCCAGTTATTACATATAAATAAAAACATCAAATGCAAGAAGTCAGAATGCATGGTTGTTGCCAAAAGGAAGGACCCAATATGCAAATTACAAATTGGAGACATCAAAATCAAGCAAGTAAAACAATTTAAATATCTAGGAGGTGTTTTAACAGAGGACAAAAAGTGCGACACTGAAATCCAAAGGCACATTGGGATAACCAATGATGCATTCCAAATGTTAAGCAGAGTATTAAAAAACAGAAAAAAATCGTTAGAAACACAGAAAAGGGTATTGAACTGTTACATGATATCAGTCCTCCTATATGGTATCGAATGCTAGACAATTTCCTCACAAATGAAGCGGAGACTTGAAGCAGCAGAAATGTGGTTCTACAGAAGGATGCTGAGAATACCATGGACCGAATATGTGAACAACGACAAAGTTTTAGAGAAAATTGAAACAAAAAGGACACATGCTTAGCATCAGCAAGAGGCAGTTGAAATTTCTAGGGCACATAATGAGAAAAGAAGGTTTAGAAAATCTGATACTATCATATTGAAGGCAAGAGTGACGAAGGAAAACATTGCATAACCTACTTAGTGACCTTAATTTAATGGATGACGGAACAAGATTTTAGAGAGATAACAAAAAGATCAAATTTATTAAGAGCTACAAAAGGCTTGTGGAGAGCCATGATCGTCTGCGTCCTAAAGGGACGGAGCGCATAGAAGGCGAATCATTAGATATAAGTAATCATTACATATAAGTAATCATTACATATAAGGAATTATTACATATAAGTAATCATTACATATAAGGAATTATTACATTTAGTTAATTTAAATATATTTTCTGTTTTATGATATAGTTGCCAGATTTCTTTGGCTACATATGAAGGTCCTGTACAGCTAAATTTTTAATATCACCACATGGGACTTTTTTCGTTACTTTTAAAAACTCAGAACTACTAAATATATAATATCTCCATTTGCAACTTTTGGGACTACTTTTGAAGGCTTAGTGTTATTAAAATTTGAGCATCGCTACTTGAGACATTAACGAGTATTTGTCTGTGGGCCCACGTCGCAACAGAAGGTTGAAGTTTAATGTGGGTTTTTCGACAATACCGCAGAAAAATTGCTCCAACTCACTTGACACTTCCCCTTTTTAGGGATGCCTCAGGCACCAGGTAATTTCCCCAGCCTACTTCCAAAGGAGATGTATTGTCTGAAAATTGAGCTAATATTAATTTCAAACTACCCCAGCTGATGCTGAGGAAGTATATTACTTTGAACATTAGAAGCTACTATTGAAAGCTCAGCACTATTAAATTTTGTGTATCACTACTAGGAACATTGAGGATTACTTTTGGAAACTTAGCGGTATAAAAATTTTGAGCATAGCTACTTAGAATATTAGAGGGCTACTTTTGAAAGCTCAACGCTATTAAATTCTGAGCCTAGCTACTTAGAATATTCAGAGCTACTTTTGAGAGCTCAGCACTATTTAATTTTAAGTATCACCACTTGGGACTTTTGGAGCTACTTTTAAAAAGTGATTGCTACTAAATTTTGAATTTCACCATTTACCAATTTTAGGGTCACTTTTGAAATAAGCTCAGCTAATTATTGATAATAATGAGAGCTGAGTCAATTCAAAATCCTTCAGCTTCGGACTTTAAATGTAGTTTGCTCAATTTGGTGGATATTAAGTGGAGGCTTCTTTTTGCTTTACAACCAAGTCATAAGTGCATTCTCCACTTTTGACCATAGTAAATTCATATATTTTTCTATTCTGGAAATGATTGTAGCAGTTAGGGTTGATAGATGATGATCAAACATTACTAAAATTTGAATTCCGCTACTTACGAGCATTTAGCTTGCTTATTAAATAAGATGGGCTAACTTAGGCTACTAATGAAAACAAATATAAATTTAGTATCATTCGATTTTCAAATGTAAAACAATATGATAAACCTGCTGACTACAGTTAAAAATTACTGTCATCATTACAGCAAACTAAAATCTTGACTTATTTGTTTTTATTTTGTTTTTGTTTTTTTTTTAATCCTACCTGTGATATATCAACTTTATATAGTATCTCATGTTAGATACAGAACCAAAAATGAATAAAATGGATGTAGGATATCAGTAAGTGTTCAGGTAATATCTCTATCTATAAAAGGTAGGATGTGTGTGTGTGTGTGTGTGTGTGTGTGTGTGTGTGTGTGTGTATGTAACGAATGCAAGGCCGCAATTTTCGACGAATTTGCAGCAAAATTTACATGCACATGCTCCAAGTTAGCGGGAAGGCCAAGACCGACTTTGCATTTCCCAACTCCCATCGATAGTGGAAACAATCGATTTTTTCATGCTTTTACGGCAGTTTTCATGTAGTTTGCGGCCATTTTCTACTGGCCAGAGTGAGAGCCTATAGATGGCTGCCACGAATAGGCAGCAAGATTCTATTGGGCAGCGTGAGAACCAACAGCTGACTGACACGAATGTTAACTAGCATGCTAGTATGCAAAAAAAAAATCGATAGCTACATTCGTCACAAGTGGGAAAAATTTAAATCCGTATGGCACTTTACTCCAATTGGCTCATTTGCTTGCTTAAACTCAACGTTGATTCTGATTCCGCAGAACTGGATTGGGTGTGAAAAAGTATTTGTTGTTAACATTCTTTTTTCATTCGGTTTTTCCAGTTACGAGTCCTTTTTTAAAGCTAATCATTTTGTGTTCATTTTGTTTAGTTCTTTTTTCGTAACAGATTTAATGTTTAGTATAGAGCTTAGAAAAAAATTTGCAGTGTGAGATAGGCAAGAAGTAAGGCATGTAGCAACATCAGCAAAGGGCACTCCTTTAAAGGCAAGGAAGGGCAAAAATATTTTAAGTCAAGTGATAGCAATTGCTGTATGAGTCGTACGATTTTTGAATCAAGCACGGGCAACACCGGGCCATGCTGCTAGTACAGTTTAAGATCATTTAACTGGATGACTGTAATTTCATTTTTCTTTTTTAGATTATTTCCTGAATTCTTTTATTTCTAATATCAGCTGGATCATTCCAAATCACAGTCGAGAGATTATCGGTTACTTTTGCAAAAACTAGTGCTACTAAAATATCACTTTCTCTATTTGTGACATTTTCAGCTACTTTTCAAAGTCCAAAGCTACTAAAATTTCAATACCGCTACTTTTGAATTTTTCCGCTACTTTTGAAAGTCCAGTGTTACTAAAATTTCAATTTCACTATTTGGGACTTTTTCAGCTACTTTTGAAAGTCCAGAGCTACTAAAGTTTCAATTTCGTTAATTTTGTCTTTTTAGGCTACTTTTGAAAGCCCAGTGTTACTAAAATTTTAATTTCGCTATTTGCGACTTTTTCGGATACTTTTAAATTAAGCTGGACTAACTAAGGAGAATAGTGATAATTTAGTAGGGCTGGTCTTTGAAATATTATCCAGTGTGTTACTTGTCACTTCGGTCTGACAGCCCTAGTATAAAGTATAGATTGTTCGAAACAAAATATTTTCTCATTGAAACAGTTAAAAAAAATACAAATCTTTGCTATCAAACAAAAAAAATAGATTCAATAAAATTTAGAAAAATCTTTATGGAATATATCATATATATTATAGATTTAAATCATTAATGCCGACCATGAAATCCAATATTAATTGAAAAAATATAACATCAAGTATTGATTATAACTTACTCAAAAAATTTGGTATTAATTATAACTTCGCAAAAAATTCGATATTAATTATAGGTTTCTACCTATAACCCATAAATTCATACTGTTCTTTTCTAATATGGTACTGATATATATGCTTGGCCTGCTGATCGGATAGATGAGCATATGCTATGCTTCTTTCAATCATCTTATTCTTCAGTGTTGTTTTATGTGTATCCTTTTAACTTTGTCGCTGTGCTTCTTTTTCCCTCCACATATAATTTTATGTCTGTTTAACAGTGAAATTTTCATAATTACTCAAAATACCTTTATATAAATAATTTTCAGTAAGCAATTTCCCTGAATTTATAATACACATCGAGATTGAAATGTCATAGAAAATAGTGACTTAGTTATTCCTTAATGTATTATCTGATTATCTCAGACCAGTTTCATAATTTTCGCTGTCTTTATTACAATGTTTTGGACATTGTAGATTCTGGCTTTTTTCCGTGTGAATTTCTTTACAACGCCATGAATGTAGTCAGTGGATTTTTTAAAATCTTAAAATTAACCTATTAATGCCGACTGTAAATTTTCGTATTATTGGCTTCTAAAAACACCCAGTTAGTGTTTTCTACCAATAACCCAGTAATATCTAACACATCATAAAATGGATTAATGTCAGCTCTTTTCTAACATAGTTACAGTTGGGTTACTGATCGGATAAATGAGCATGTGCAATGCTTTTTTCAATCATCTTATTATTATTATTATTATTATAGTATGAACAATCTCTTAAATAATTAGTAATTAACTTCCATTCATTCATTTAAAATTGGTTGTCCATTGTTATTGAAAAATAAGCGTATTTTCTTTAAGTGGCGTCATCCGTTCTGACTTCATAACGTTTCTACCATTATGCAGATGACAGCATCAATAATTCGCGCCGCTATAAAGATGGCAACACGAGGCATTTGTGTATAAAAATATTACCACCAGACATTTTGTCTCCTGTAAAAAGCTTTTATAATTTTGTTGTACATTTGCGGCGTGCAAAAGCTCGAAGTGCTATTATTTAAAAAATACAGGTCGCATATACAAGCTGATAAACGGTTTTTCGCTTGA